CCCCAAAACCCCAAAACCCCAAAACCCCAAAACCCCTTATGACTTTTTGGAGATTGAAAAGTATTAAGCAAAGTATCCTATTTTAAGCTTATCAGATTAGATTTCTTTACTTATACTTCTCTGAAAGTATTTATGGGGAGGTTTAGAGACTCCAGGGTAATTGTAGTCCGCATTAAGTCTTTCTGTTCCTTCAATTTTGTCTTTCTCAGGAATCTTTGCAAATTTCTGGGATGTAGCATTCTTTGGACTCTTTAGCTTAAGAGTAAATACTCCTGCAAGACCGATCTGCATTACTGAGATAACCAAGAACACGATAAACAGGATTGAGAAGCTGAAACTGCCCATGAATTCTTCACCTCCAGTCACGAAGACTTTTCTCCTGTTAAGATCCATGGCTACTCTGTTGGATCCCTTGCCTTCAGCAAAGGTACTAAGTCCTGCCCACTTGCTCGTGAATCTTCCAAGCTGAGATGGGTTGATTTTTTGAATTTCTTTAACTACAAACCACTCCACGCTCTCAGTGCATGGAGGTGTGGTCAGAGATCCTTTGTAGTTGTACATTTTTGTGTTGCTAAACTTGTTATAGAAGTTCTCCATTGGTACATTCTCAATGTGGCCAGTGGTAGGGTTTGAAACGAGGTTTTCCAAAGCAAGAGAGGCAATGAACTCATCATCCTCGTATCCTTGCTCAAGCTCGTAGATCACTCCTACAACGAGTAGCTGACCTGGATTAGTCTTTGATACAAAAACACTATGCATTTCCAAGTCATGAGTCTTGCCATCTATTCTGTGTTCTGCTGGAGCATGATAATGGAACTGGGCTAGTGCCCATTCACTATCTTCATCTTCAGAAGTGTACTTGGCAGTGGCTCCAGAGTAAGTTACTTTAAGTTCATGATCATGATAGAGTATGGAACCGGTGGTAATGTCAGTACCTGAAATGAATAGTTCAACATCTTCTGCTTCTCTGACGTTAGCCGTAATAATATTGATGGGGCTCTGACGAGAACCTATAAGAATTTTGGTAAAGGAATCACTTTAATGAAACCCTCAATTATTATGTATGCTTCTTATCAAAATTTGCTCCGAACCCGCTAAGTTGAACTAAAAAAGCAGGAAGAGAAGCTTGTGAGGAAAATAAAGAGGATAGGGCTTACCTGATGCGCAGGCTCCAGTTTCCCAATCAGCTCCCTCATGTTTGTAGCATACATGGCCAGTGGTTGATATCAACAGAAGGCTCAACAACAGAATAAATTTTCCAATCATTTTCTTTTTATAGTTTTATTTTTCAATACCGTTTAATTAAGTGGGGTTTTGGGGTTTTGGGGTTTTGGGGTTTTGGGGTTTTGGGGTTTTGGGG